CGCTGTGGCTGGGGGAGGGAGCCTGCACGCCCCGAGAAGCTCCCGGCCCGCGGCTGTGCCTTAGCCTTGCTGCCGCCACCGGAGCAGGAAGTGGTGGGTCCCAGATGTGACTCACTCTCATTAGGTAGCGTGGAAGGAGCTTTCGGATGGGTGAGTCTGGACGCGTCTGAGGAAGGGCAGACTCTGGCCAGCCACCGGGGCCCAGGAGGAGAGCCAGGTAAAAGTGGGGTGCGGGGATGGAGTGTCACCAGTCCTAGCGGCTTGAGGCCCTGGGGACGGGGTTGGATGGTGGGTGGGAAGCAGTTTACCCGGCAGCCTGGCCTGGGAGTGCACTGGGCAGGGTCTGGGCTGGGGGAGGAGGTGGCTCCAGGAGCCTCCTGGGCAGATGCTGGGAGAGGCGGCCCCTCAACAGGGGACCAGAGACGACTTGTCACTGGCTTTTCCCAGCCTGACAAGAAAGTGTGGTTGAGATCACGATGTTGTGCATCTGGCCCGTTCCATCTGGAATTCTAGGAACCACAGACTCTCAGATGTCCACAGTCCTGCTGGAGGGTGTAATTTTACATTTACAAGCACACTTGACTTTTCTCAATGAAAGGAAACATTGGCGAAGGAAGGGCAATTCAACTAGTTTTGTGAAATTATAAAACAACAAATAAACAAAACCTCTGAAAGGGGCGCACACCTGAGGCTCAGGGAACCAGGATGCCTCCGGAAAGCTGACTGCTCTCCCTTTCCCTGCAGCGCCTGTCCCATCCCCCAGGGGCTGAGTGGGTCATCGGGAGTGGGTCTTTCTGGAGCTTTCTATGCATTCATCTAAACGTGTATGCACAGACACAGGGTGAGGCAGCTGCCTGTTCTCCCACATCAGGGTGGGGGCAGGGACGTCTGGGACTGGGGGCTTCCACCCTGGCCAGCCATTGCTGGAGGGGAGAAGGAAAGGGGGAAGCCAAGGGCCTGGAGGTGGGGGCCAGGCTGGGCTGCCTGTGACGGGGGCCAGGGCTCTGTGACTGTGGGCCGTCACCGATGTGCAGGTGAAGGCTGTGAAGGGTGGACCCAAGCACCAGTGTGTCTCGGCGTGAGGACCAGGCTCCCCAGGGAATCTCAGGGTGATCTAGCCTCTATGTGGAAGGACATGTTTAAAATCTAAGTATTTGTTTTAGGAAAAGAAAATCTGTAAATAGGACATTGACATTGTGATGTCATGACTATTTATTGTCTTGGAAGAAGCTAAACAAGACACAAAAGTGACAAGCCAGCTGATTTGAGAGGAAGTGCCAAGTGCTGGCCCTGCAGGAAGTGCAGGTGGCTGGGGGCCCACTCAGGAAGGCCTTTGCTGCCCGGTCTCCCCCTCCCACCCGGTGTCCGTCCCCCTCACTCCAGCGGCCTGGGTTCCAAGGTTTACCTGCTGCTCCTGGTGCAGGGTGTGGGGGAGGGGAAGCTCACAGATTGTTCCGGATTCTGTGGCCCTCACAACAGAAGGCGTGAACTTTGTGGAGGTGGTGTCTCTGGTGGTATTTTGTTTCTTATTTTCATTTTTGTTTTATTTTACTTTTTTGAGATGGAGCCTCTCTCTGTTGCCCAGGGTAGAGTGCAGTGGTGCCATCTTGGGTCACTGTAACCTCTGCCTCCTAAGTTTAAGCCATCCTCCTGCCTCAGCCTCCTGAGTAGCTGGGACTACAGGTACTGCACCACCACACCTGGGTAATTTTTGTATTTTTAGTAGAGACGGGGTTTCATCATGTTGGCCAGGCTGGTCTCGAACTCCTGACCTCAAATGATCCACCCACCTCGGCCTTCTAAAGTGCTGGGATTATAGTGGGCCACCAACCCCAGCCTTTTTTTTTTTTTTTAAAGGCAGGGTCTCATTCTGTCACCCAGGCTGGAGTGCAGTGGTGTGGTCATAGCTCACGGCAACCTTGAACTCATGAGTTCAGGCGATGACGTTCCCTGCTTCAACCACCCAAAGTGCTGGGATTACAAGCAGGCCCAGCCTTCTAGTGCTGTTTTCATGAAAGAAGCAGCTGTTTTCCAGGGCATGAGGGTGAGGCTGATATTGCAGAACTTCTTTGCCAGGAGTAGGTCGTTTGCTTGAAGGCATGGAGGTTGGTGCAGGGAGGGCTCAGGCAGTAGAAGGTGGGCTGGAGTGAGGCCTCTGGATGGGCCACAGGAGATTCTCAAAAGGAGAAAAGATCCCAGCACTTTGGGAGGCCGAGGTGGGCAGATCACTTGAGCCCAGGAGTTCAAGGCCAGCCTGGGCAACATGGTGAAACCCCGTCTCTACACAAAATACAAAAATTAGCCGGTGTGGTGGCTAACTTTTGTATTTTTTTGTAGAGACAGGGTTTCTACAAAAAACAGTAGCCCGTAGTCCCAGCTACTTGGGAGACTGAGGCCGGAGGATCCTTTCAGCCCAGGAGTTGGAGGCTGTAGTGAGCCATGACTATGCCACTGCACTCTAGCCTGGGTGACAGAATGAGACCCTGTCTCAAAATAAATAAATAATTTTTAAAAAGGAGACAAAGGTCTGACTTGATGTTGCACTGGGGACATGCACCCGCCTCTACAGTTTAGAGCTACTGATTTGACCCATTCTGTACTTTCCCAGCTGCCCCATGTGGTAGGTGCCATTCGCCTCCAGTTTACAGAGGAGACAGGGCCCCAGAGGGTGCTGTCCATCCTGGATCACCCAGCAGATCAGTCCCCAGGCATCTACCCACCACAGTGTGGTCTGCTGCCACATCTGAGCCTGGAGTCAGGAGCAGGACGCTGCGTCTTTGGCGAGATTGGATGGGGCAAAGCTGAGAACAGGGGCTCTGGTTGGTGCTGAGGGATTCATGGGGGCTGGCCCTGACTGGGAGGATGAGGAATTGGGCTCTTCTGATGGCGTCCCCCATCCTGCCCTGTGCCTGGCCTTCGAGGGGCCCACAGTGGGAGGGAAAGGGTGGGGTGAGGCCTTATGCAGGGCTGGGTCTGGGGTGGGCTGTCTCGCCTGCTTTCTCGGACATGTAATTGGGCCGTGCCTCAGCTAGGAGGTGGGTGGTTTGTCCATTCCCTGTCATTGCAAGGGTCATAGAGGTGGCTGGGTGGCCTGTCCCTCAGCACCGCCCCTCGCCTCCCTCCTGCTGTCCTGGAGGAGGAAGATGTGGACTTGTTCACACTGAGGTGACAACAGCATTTCCTCTCCTACTGCCCAGGGAGAGGGCAGCGCTTAGCCCCGCTGGAGAAAGTTCCAGGCCTTTGAGGGAGCATGCAGAGTGGGTCACAGTGGGTACCTGTATCCGAGCAGTTCTAACCCTTCATGGGGTGGGAGGGAGGTATTTACCTCTTTTAAAAAGAAGGCCGAGATGAACAGATCATCAGGTCAGGAGACTGAGACCATTCTGGCTAACACTGTGAAACCCCAACTCTACTAAAAATACAAAAAATTAACCAGGCATGGTGGCATGCACCTGTAGTCCCAGCTACTTGGGAGGCTGAGGCAGGAGAATCCCTTGAACCCAGGAGGCAGAGGCTGCAGTGAGCCGAGGTCTTGCCACTGCACTTCAGCCTGGGCAACAGAGCTAAACTCAGTCTCAAAAAAAAAAAGGCATGTGCGGTCAGGCACCATGGCTCACACCTGTAATCCCAGCTCTTTGGGAGGCTGAAACTCTTGAGCTCAAGAGTTTGAGACCAGCCTGGGCAACATGGCACAACCCCAACTCTACAAAAAAACCAAATATTAGCCAGCATGGTGATATATGCCTACAGCCCCAGCTACTCAGGAGGCTGAGGCAGGAAGATTGCTTGAGCCCAGGAGGCGGAGGCTGCAGTGAGCTGACCTCATGCCACTGTACTCCACTCTGGGTGACAGAGCAAGAGCTCGTCTCAAAAATAAATAAATAAATAAAAATTAAAAAAAAAAAAAAGACACACGTAGCCAAGAGCTGGAAGTTAGTTGGGACTGGAGAATGAGACGACATCTGAACACCAGCCAGAGAAGCAGGGGTCTTCCAGAGGTCATCGGGTCCAGCCTCCTGCCTCTAGGCAGAACCGGTTTCAGCCCCACTCTGCCTCCTCCCAATCAGCGTGTGAGATGAGCCTGTTTCTTACATCTGTGAAATGGGGTTGGTAATGGTACCCCCTGCATCAGGTGATTGTAAAGATTAAACAAGTTGATGCACATTCTGTGCCTGGCGCAGCGGAGCCGCTACCTAAGTGGAAGTGTTTGTCACTGTCAGTGTCGTGAGGCCCTCCTCTGCCGTGTCCTGCCTTGGGTGGGAGACTGGACCTCCCTGGAGGAGGCTGGGAGGTATGGGTGGGCAGGGCTGAGCGGAGCACCCCCCCCGCCCCCGTCGCCTGCATCCCTTGGGCTAATCACTTTCTCTCTGTTCCTCAGTTTCCTTATATGTAAAATGGGGCTGATAGCAGTGCCCAGGTAGGTTAATGGGAGGGCTAGCTAGGTGAAAACGCTCTCCAGGCACCTGAGACTAGTGTGCCCAGGCTGAGAGGTTGCCATGAAGTGGCTGGAGCCCCTCCAGCTGTGTGTGCAGGGGACCCTGCCAGCCCCATCTGTGCAATGGCCCCCTCCCCATCAGGAAGAGTAGCACAGTGTCCCTGGCTCACCATAGGCATCTGGTCTGACCTGGTGCTGCCCACAGATCTCACAACTGGTCACATCATGGCTAGGGCATTGCCCAACCCTGAGCACAGGCCTGCTTGGCTGAAGTACTCTCCGTTCCCTGCTCTCCCCAGAAGCCTGGAAGGCTTTCTAGAAGGGACCAGTGTTGGGGTGGAGAGCGATGGGGCGGTGAGCCTGGGACCACGCTCCGTTCCTCTTCGGTGGCCTTTTTCCTTGGAACACTTAGGACTGTGCTTTCCTGCTGCCACCTGCTGACCCATTTTTAATTTTGACAGGGTCTGGCTCTGTTGCCCAGGCTGAGGTGCAGTGGCATGATATAGCTCTCTGCAGCCCCTTCTGGGCTCAAGAGATCCTCCCACCATGACCTACCAAAGTGCTGGGCCCAGCCTGTCCTCTTTGATGGGCCGATTTCACAGGCATTTTCCGAGCACAGCACAGCCCAGTGCTGCTGAGATGAACCTGAGCAGACTCTGTTAGGATGGGGTGGATGGCTGACCTTGGGCCTGGGAGAAGGTCCTCCTGTTCTCCAGCACAGCCACCTGGTCAGTTTCTCCTGGCTTGTGAGGCCCTCCTGACCTGGTGCTGCCAGGCCCAACCTCCGTCCCCACTCCCGCCGCTTGTCCCCATTGTCCACTCTGGGCCAAGGACCCCTGATGTTTTCACCCCCCACAGGGCTTGGCTCTCTCCTGCCTCTTTCCTGCCCTTGGCTCGCACAGTTCCTGCTGTCTAGAGTGTTCCCCTCACCCCCTGCTTGGCAGTGTGCCCCAGGTGAGGCCCTCCTTCAGGGGTCCTCCATGGGGAGAAGAGGGGGCCCAGCTGGCTCTGCTCCTGAGCTGTTCACTCGGCCGCCCCCCCCACCCCCCTTGGCCTTGCTTTGAGCCCCCCTCTTGCTGTGGCTGGGGCCCTAGGGATGCCAGGGTACCCTCCTCTCTCCATCCCCCTTTATGCCCGTCTCCCCCCGCCGTGGACCACTGGACGGCATGACCCCACAACTGGGCCTGAGGGAAAGGGGAGTCAAGGGAGGTCTTTGGTGCAGGTGCCCCAGTTTCCAGCTGTGTTTCCTGGCCCTAGGGTCCACCCATTCTTGCCTCCTCCCAGGGCATTGGGACGTGCTGGAGGTGACGGGGCAGAAGGAGTGACCATGACCCTCAGACACAGGCCTGTCCCCTGGGGAGGAGCTCATGGCCCTGGAAGGCAGAAGGTACCTACAGTGGGCGTTGCCACCACCCGCCTTCTAGGGCCCAGAACCCTGGAGGCTGCTGGACCCAGGACACTCTGATCAGGGTGCTTTGTCTTCCAGGCCCCAGCCCCCTCCTGCCCCCCTGAGTGCCCTTCCTACCCCTGTAACTAGCCAGCTTGCCTGGCACTAGCCTCTGAAACGGCTCAGTCTCACTGCCTCAGGCGCAGCTCACTGAAGTCATTCCTTCCTGGAGTCACCAACTCGCCAGGCAGGGAGAAGCCCAGGATCCTGGGGTGCAGCTGCTCTGCACAGATGGGAAAACTGAGTCCCAGGGAGCTCCATAGCCACAGGGCTGGTGTGTCTTCCTGGTGGGAGCTGTGTTGAAGGTGCAGGCCACGCCCCATTTACAAGCACATCCCTTGGCCTCACTAGCGGGAGGGGTGTGGACTGGGGACCAGCCTTGTGAGCTTGTCTTGGCCCCGCTGCTGTTCTCAGGGGTCTGGGTCTCCCTCCTCCCGTGAATCTCCTCACTGGAGCAGGGGTCCAGGGCACTGGCGTAGGCTGGGATGAGACCTCCTTTCTGTGTGTGTGCCTCTGGCTCCTGGGCCCCCAGGTCTGTCTCCTGTACCCTATCTCCTGTACCCTACCCTGTGAAGTTGTCTGGAGGCGCTATGTTAAGGGGGATCTGTGCTAATGGGAAGCGGTCTCTTTTGATACAACCAGACTCCCTGGAGACACTGCTCCGTCCCCTGGGGGCAGGGACCAACGCTTCTGTGTCCCTTTGTCAGGCTCAGCTGCTGGGCAGGGGTACAAGAGCAGAGCTGCCCTTTGAGGGCAGGCAGGTGTGAGGCTGAGACCCTGGTACTGAAGTGTGTCCCAGTGCCTGTTTATATCATGATTTTTCAGGCAGCTCACCCTGGTGTCTGGAGCCACCTGGGATGGCCCTGGGTGATGGCACTTGCTGTGTGCCCATGTCTACATGAAGCCCCTGAGAACTGGGTATTGTTACCAGTTGATTCTGTGGGTTAGGAAACAGAGGCCCAGAGAGGTTCAGGAACATGCCCAAGGTCACACAGCTCCTCCAAGGTGGAGCTGTGATTCCCACCCTGCCATTGGATCTCAGAGCTCGCGCACCCTCCACCGTGCTTTCCCGCCTTCCCCACTGCCCGGCCCTGCCGTTCCTTTTCCTCACTTGGCTCATTTATGACAGTCTGCCCTCCTCCCGGCATGAGCTCCACAGGGGACCTGTGCCTATGTGTCGTAGCAGCACCGTCTCACCCTGTACCTGCTGTAGGCAGGAACCCAGGGGCACTTGGTGGATGGAGGACTGGGGGTGCCAACATGTGCCCTCTTTCCTGTGCTAGGATGGAGCCCTTTCCATGTGCAGTGGTTCTGGGGTTTTATGAGGTTTTATAGCTGTAAGGTCATTTTACTTCTAGAATAGGCCGTGGAGGGGGGAGAAGGGTTTTATCCCCATTGCTCAGGTGAGAAACTGAGTCCTGAGAGGCAAAGCTCATGCAGATGGGACTGGGGGCTCCAGGGTTGGGGCCCAGTCCTTAGCTGCCAGTTCAGTGCTGGCTGTACCCAGTCTGTAGAGTATGGGGTTTGATGTCCCTGTGTACCAGGCAGGGTTAGATCCTGGGAGCTGTAGTGCATGGCCAGGCGTGCAGCCAGGTAGTGACATGTCAGGGTGGCCTGTGCTTCTGTGGGAGGTGCAGGCCCTGGGGAAGCTAAGGTACGAGGCCAGCCTGGGAGGGGACCAGGCAGCCTTCCTGGAGGAGGTGGCAGCTTAGGCTGAACCTGAAGGGCAGGCAAGAGTTTGGCAGGTAGAAGGCATTTGGAGGTGAGGAGGTGGGCGTGTTTTTAGGCTGCTGGAGCTGGAGATGAAAGGGTGGGGCTTGTTTGGGGAACTGAAATTGGCCAAATCACGCAGCCACGGAGGAGGCCTGAGGAGAAACTCTGGAGACACTTTTTGGCCAAGGGGTGAGCAGAGACCAGGCTTGGTGTTTTTGGGGTTCTGGGTAGGTGTGGGGAGGCCTGGTTTTGGGGACCATGGGGGCTCTTGCGGTCTGAGACTCCATCACGGTGACCTCCCGTGCCCAAGAGCTCCATAAGGGCAGGGTTTGTGGAAGGAAGGAGTGGGTGACCAGGAATGGGGGCTTGGGCTCCAGGGACCGCCGTGGCGAGGGACTCCGAGCCCCTGTGTGGGTGCAGGTCCGGAAGCCGGGGCTGTGGTTGGCTGGGGAGGCCGGGTGGGGCTGCTTCCCCTGCAGAAGGGCTCTTCCGGGCTTTTGGCGCGGCTTCATGAGGCAGCCTGGGTATTGTTACCCAGACTTCGTCTCTCCTGCCCCCTTGGCCTGGATCGGGTTCTCAGGAAGTCTCAGGGAAGTGAGGGTCTCAGTGCCTTGGCTTGGGGCTGGGCTCCTTGTGAGCTGGTGTCATGGAGGCCAAACTGGGGGCCTCTGGGCCAGGTGGTGGCTTCAGGCTTGCCACTGGGACAGGAGGCCAGGCTAGGCAGTGACGCCTCACTGCACTCTGTGGGTGGCCTGCTGAGCTCTGGGTGGGAGAGGCCTCTCCCACTGATCTCTCTGTGACTGGCTTCTCTGCTGGTCTGAGTGGGAAGGGACTGCAGAAATCCTGGAGGCCTTTTCTGCCCTGGAGGAGTCAGGCCCAGAGAGGGTGAAGAAGTGCCTGAGTCACACAGCTGGTGACAGGGAGAGCTGGAACTGTACCTGACATCACCTGATATTCAGGCTATGGCTCTATTCCCTGCACTGCCTTACCTGTGGCAGATGGGGAAACTGAGGCAGGTGGGTCAGTCACTCCTCTGCATTGCCGGGAGAGGCAGGAAATTTGACAGGAGCCGTTTGCCGGGTTGGTACTTGGAGCTCTTTTCCTGCTTGCTTTCCCCCGGGGCAAGATGCTTCTCAGCTGAAAACTGCCTGGGGAGGGCACTGTTGAGACCTTGAGCACCCGAGAGCCCGGGTCTTTCACTCAGGCCTCTCCTCTCACCTCCACCCGGGAGGCCAAGCTCAGGGTGGGCGTCTTGGCCCGCAGGCAGGTGCATGGGCTGGCCCTCCTGGCACCTGCAACCCCCATGTGCCCAGCTAGCCCAACCTGGGGTCAGGTGGAGCTGGGTAAGTGGGGGCCCCCAGCCTTAAGGAGCTTTACAGGTTGTAATCAATTAAGGGAGGCCAATGGGCTCTACAGAGCACAGCTGCCCAGGGAGGTGTCTTCGGGTAGGAGTTCCTAGGTGGGTCTTGGAGACTCTAGAATCAGCATTTCCCAAAGGAGTTTCATTAGGGATTCAATACAAAAAGAGTCTCATTAACATAAAGGATGGGGAAATGCTCAGCTGCATTTGATTCCGGACTTCTTTCCTGCAGGACTTGTCAGAGCCTTTAATTTGGTAATGTGTATGGGGGATCTTTAAATGGGGAAGAGGAGAAGGTTGAGCTCAGCACCATCTGTGACCAGAAACGGCTGTGGATGTGTATGGCTGTGTGTGTGTAGCTTTTCATGGCCCTGATTTTGGGCAGAATGCACCTTAGGAGATAGAGAGTGAATCTGCACTGGGCCTTGAAGGGTGGCAGGCCTGGGTTCAAATCCTAGCTCCATTGCTTCCCAGCCGGTGGGCTCTGTGCTTGGAGGTTAAGGTTGCAGAGTCAGTTGCCCTGGTTAGAAATAGAGCTCCCCCACCCGCCACCCTTGGGGAGTCAGGGGGACTGGCCTCATCCCAGCCTCTTTGTGGTTCTCTGCAGGTTCTCAGAGGAGACGGCTAGCCAGGTGGTGGTTGGCCTAGTTTGTCTCCAAACTGGGCTCAGAGGTTGCAGAGCTCATCTTGAGGCCTGGGTACTGTGCTCTCTCCTGCCAGTGGGCCTGGAAGGCTTGGGCCGAGGACCCGACGTTGCCTGGGATGTCATCTGTGAGCTCCCTCCAGCTCAGATCAACACCACACCTCCCTTTCCCCTGGGTTGGGTGGTATGGCAGCTCCCTTGAGGCCTAACTAGACCCTGCGTGGCAGGCTCAGCCCACATTGCCGCTCATGGCCCTGGAAAGCTGCCTGAGTTGCTGACCAATGCTCTCTCCGCCTCCCAGAGGCTGGGCACTCACAGGCCAGAGTTGGGGCTGGGCCTCCTCACCCCCAGTGCTATTGGCTCATGGCAGGATTGGGGGGAGGGGAAGGGGCAGGTGCTGGGCCCTCTCACTTCTGCACCCCATAGCCCTTTCTGACATCTAGACATGACATGTCATCTAGACTGGGGCGTTTTGTGCTAGGGGTGGCTCAGCACACTGCTCACGTCACCCCCAAATGAATCCTTTCAAAACTCTGTGGGGTGCGACTGTTATTCTCCTTTTGTTCAAATGAGGAAACCGAGGCACAAGGAGGCTAAATCAGGTCACGTATAATTTCTTTTAATATTTAATAAATTAAATTTATTTTTTTTTTATTTTTATTTTTTTTGTGTGTGTGTGTTTGTTTTTTTTTTTGGGGACAGAGTTTCGCTCTTGTTACCCAGGCTGGAGTGCAATGGCGCAATCTCGGCTCACCGCAACCTCCGCCTCCTGGGTTCAGGCAATTCTCCTGCCTCAGTCTCCTGAGTAGCTGGGATTACAGGCACACGTCACCATGCCCAGCTCATTTTTTGTATTTTTAGTAGAGACGGGGTTTCACCGTGTTGACCTGGATGGTCTCGATCTCTTGACCTCGTGATCCACCCACCTCGGCCTCCCAAAGTGCTGGGATTACAGGCGTGAGCCACCGCGCCCGGCCGAAATTAAATTTATTTATGAATGAACGAATAAGATGGAATCTTGCTTTGTTTCTCAGGCTGGAGTGCAGTGGAACAATTATCACTCGCTGCAGACTTGACCTGAACTCAAGAGGTCCTTCTGCCTCAGCCTCCTTAGTTGCTGGATCTGCAGGTACGTACTACTGCGCCTGGCTCAGTTTTTAAATTTTTTTAGAGACAGCATCTCACTGTGTTGCCCTGGCTGATCTTGAACTCTTGGCCTTAAGCAATCCTCCCACCTCGGCCTCCTGAGTAGGTGACGTCACAGGCATGGGCTACTGTACCTGGTTAGGTCATGTGATTTAGATGCGATGAACCGGGATTCATTTTTCCTATCAGACATTTTTTTTTAGTCTCATAAGCAACACTCTGACAATAGAAATGGAAACTGAAAACGAGAAGTGAAATTTATCCACTCTGTGAAATCAACAGTTTTGGCTTTTCTGTGTCCTGGTTCAGTCCTTATCTGTTCCAGACGCTGCCATGTGGATTTTTTCACAGGACACCCTGTGACATTAGTTTCAAGTAGCATCAGGCTTTTTGACAGCTGCGTAGTATTCCATTGTAAGGTTGTATCATAATTTATTTCATCAGTTCCTGACTGATAGGTATGTTCTTTTCAATCTTTTGTTATTACAAATAATGCTTCAATGACTAATCTTATACTTATGACATTTCACACTTGTGGCAGTGTTTGTATGATGAAAAATTACTCAAAATGGATTTGGTAGGTCAAAAAGCAAATATGTCCTTTAGCGACTTTGTTAGATATTATTAAACTGCCTTCACTGGGGGCTGTACTGACTTACATTCTTGCAGGAGGGAATGTGACTGCCTGTTTCCAACACAAACTTATGAAATACTTTGATCTTTGCCAATCAGATAGGTAAAAATGGTTTTGTGTGGTAGTTTTGTTTTTGTTTTCAAGATGGGGGTTTTGCTATGTTACCCAAGCTGGGCTCAAACTCCTGGGCTCATGTGATCCGCCTGCCTCAGCCTCCCAAGTAGCTGGGACTATCGGTGCAACCCATTGTGCCTGGCTACCATGGTAGTTTTAATTTTTGTTTCTTTCATTATGAGTGTGGTCAGCTTCCTTCCAAATGCTGTGGGGTTTTTTGTTTTGTATTGTTTTGTTTTGTTTTGAGACAGAGTCTCACTCTGTCACCCGGGTTAGTGTACATGTGTGATCTCGGCTCACTGCAACCTCTGCCTTCCAGGTTCAAGTGATTCTCTTACCCCAGCCTCCCACGTAGCTGGGATTACAAGCATGCACTTTCACACTTGGCTACTTTTTGTATTTTTTAGTAGAGATGGGGTTTTGCCATGTTGCCCAGGCTGGTCTCAAACTCCTGGCCTCATGTGATCTGCCTGACTCAGCCTTCCAAAGTGCTGGGATTACAGGTGTGAGCCACCACACCTGGCCTTTCAAATGTTCAAGAGTCATTTGGATTGGCTTTTCTGTAAACTTTCTCTTTCTGGTCTGCTCCCATTTTTCTATTGGGTTATTGGTCTTTTTCTTTTTTATTTCTGGGAGCTCTTTACATACGAAGGAGATTACCTCCTTGTGATATGAGTCACAAATGTTTCCCTAATCTGTCGTGTGTCTTTTGATTGTGCTTTTGGTAGTTTTTACTTTGCATATTTTGTTTTTTCATGTAACTGAATTTGTCTTTTTTTTTTTTATGGCTTTTGGGTTTTGTATCAGGATAAAAAGGCCATATTCACTACAGCATCATATGATAATTCTTCCATAGTTTCTTGCTGTCTTTGGAAATCATCCTGATATAAGTTGTGAATCCAGCTTGCTTGCTCTTTTGGGCCATGCTGCCTTTCTAAACAGAATACTAGCAGCCTAGGAGTTAAGACGTAAATGCACATCCTTCCTGCCCCTCCAGGAGAGCAGTTAGTCTGGGTTACATCTGTCCATGGGTCTATGAAATAGATCTCTTTTTTTTTTTTTTTTTTTGAGACAGAGTCTCACTCTGTCGCCAGGCACCAGGCTGGAGTGCAGTGGCACAATCTCGGCTCACTGCAACCTCTGCCACTCCGGTTCAAGCAATTCTCCTGCCTCAGCCTCCCAGGTAGCTGAGACTACAGGCGCATGCCACCACGCCCAGCTAATTTTTGTATTTTTAGTAGAGATGGGGTTTCACCATGTTGGCCAGGATGGTCTCCATGTCTTGACCTCGCGATCTGCCTGCCTCCACCTCCCAAAGTACTGGGATTACAGGCTTGAGCCACTGTGCCCGGGCAAGTCAAGTCAGGTGTTTCTTTTGAGGCAAAGCCTTACTCTGTTTTCCAGGCTGGAGTGCAGTCGCATGATCCCATCTCACTGTACCCTCTGCCTCCTGGGTTCAAGTGATTCTCATACCTCAGCTTCCTGAGTAGCTGGGACTACAGGCGCATGCCATCATGTCTGGCTAATTTTTGTATTTTTAGTAGACATGGGGTTTCACCATGTTGGCAAGGCTGGTCTCGAACTCCTGGCCTCAAATGATTCACCTGCCTTGGCCTCCCAAAGTACTGGGATTACAGGTGTGAGCCACTGCACCAGGCCTATCCAGCTCTTCTTGTGCCTCCCAGCCCCATTCATGCCTTGCTGTCACTGCTGGAGCCCCTGTCAGGGTGGGGGCCTAGGCAATGGGCAAAGTCAGCCAGCAGCCTCTTGTCCTGCTGTCCCAGGCAGGATGAGCACCACGTGAGGTCCCCCATGGCCAGCTGGACTTCCCCTTTCTGTTCTTCCTTATCAAGGGAAAAGAGATCAGAAATCTGTTAAACGTGGGTGTGAAAGTGTTTCCCTTTTGAAGGGAGAGGCTAGTGAGGGCAGTGCTTAAAGAAATGAATCACTAATGGAATTTCAGGCAACAGTGAGGAAGAAGTAGGGCTCTTCCTGGGGCCGGGCGCGGTGGCTCACGCCTGTAATCCCAGCACTTTGGGAGGCCGAGGCGGGTGGATCACGAGGTCAAGAGCTTGAGACCATCCTGGTCAACATGGTGAAACCCCGTCTCTACTAAAAATACAAAAAATTAGCTGGGCATGGTGGCGCGTGCCTGTGATCCCAGCTACTCAGGAGGCTGAGGCAGGAGAATTGCCCGAACCCAGGAGGCGGAGGTTGCGGTGAGCTGAGATCGCGCCATTGCACTCCAGCCTGGGTAACGAGCGAAACTCCGTCTCAAAAAAAAAAAAAAAAAAAAAAAAAAAAAGTAGGGCTATCTTCTTTTAGAAGGGGGTGGCTGGTTGATTGGTTAGTCAATTGATAAACACTGTTGCCTGAACACCCACTGTGTGCAGAGCCCTAGCAGATACACTGGTGAGGGCAGCGCTAAGGATTCTACCTTCTGGGAGCTCATTTCCTGAGCAGAATTTCCTCTTGGTACCTGGCCTGGCGCACAGAAGGCACTAGTGCACAGAAACAACATCTGCTGAAGGAATGCATGGATGAACTCCTCCCGGGGAGCATCTAAGTAGCATTAGAATGGGCATGAGACATAGTGAACCTGGATGCAGCACCCTGGCAGCTGGAGCCTTGGAGGTGCATTTTAAAGGAGAGATTGATCAGAGTAACGCTTAGCCAAAGGAATGAAGGGAAGAGGAGGATTTCAAGAACAAAGGACACTATTTTTTCTTTTTTTGTGTGTATCTCTGGCAGTTTTTGGCATCAAGATGATGCTGGCCTCAGAATGAGTTATGAAGGAGTCCCTCCTCCTCAGTTGTTTTGAATAGTTTCTGCAGGAATGGTACCAGCTCTTCTTTGTACGTCTGGTAGAATTCGGCTATGAATCCATCAGGTCCTGGGCTTGTATTAGTTGATAGGTTATTTATTACTGATTCAGTTTAGAGCTTGTTATTGGTTTGTTCAGGGAATCAGTTTCTTTCTGGTTCAGTCATGGGAGGATTATGTGTCCAGGAATTTATCCATCTCTTCTAGGTTTTCTAGTTTTTGTGTGTAGAGGTGTTTGTGTTTCTGATGGTTGTTTTTTATTTCTGTGGGGTCATTAGTAATATTCCTTCAGTCATTTCTCATTATGTTTATTTGGACCTTCTCTCTTTTCTTCTTTATTAGTTTAGCTAGTGGCCTGTTTTATTAATTTTGTTTTTCAAAAAAACAACTGGATTCATTGATCTTTTGAATTTTTGTGTGTGTCTTGATTTTCTTCGGTTCAGCTCTGATTTCTGTCATTTCTCGTCTTCTGATAGACTTGGGGTTGACTTGTTCTTGCTTCTCTAGTTCTTTCAGTTGTGAAGTTAGGTTGTTAATTTCAGATCTTTCTAACTTTTTCATGTGGGCATTTAGTGCTACAAATTTCCCACTTAACACTGCCTTAGCTGTGTTCCAAAGAATCAAAGAACATCTTTCTACCCATCCCTAGAAGTGGCCCTCTGGGGCCAGGTGAGAACATCAGCCTTTTCCTTCAGTTTTTCTCCAGTCTCTTATCCTTTTCATTTACTGATTCAGCCTCCAACCCCAGCCCACCCCACCTAGGCCAGAGCTGGCCTCAGAGGTCTGACATAGCCCCTCGTTTGCAAGAAGGGAAGGAAGCTGAGGTGCAGGTCAGGCAAGAGACTTGTTCAGGGTCACAGAGCAGGTTGGTGTCTAAGCTGGGACTGGAATGCAGGTTTCTGGTCCCCAAGACTGGTCAGCAGCGTGTGCCCTGGGAGTGGAAGCCAGTCAGCCTGGGGGTGCTCAGGGGCTGTGGAGGGGTGCAGGGCAGGCTGGGGGCTCATGCCACTGGGGAACTTCAGCCTTTGCCCCTGCTGGGCAGCTTTGCAGGCTGTCATCAGGAGATGCAGTGGGGCGCCTGGGTGGGGGCCTGCCCGCCCTGCACCTGCCTCTCCCTCGACCCCGTGGTTGGGCTGTAACCCTGCAGGGCTTCCTCAGCCCTGGGCACTGGGCCTGGCTTCTTGACCATTTGCCCATTTGTCCTGCGAGCTTGGCCTGTTGGACATCCACACCTGTGCAGACAACTTGGTTATCAGCAACCCAGTTTACTGATGAGGAAACTGAGGCCAGAGTGTGCAGACGACTGCCACTCACAGGCCATTGGTAGCAGAGCTGGGATTGGGTGCAGGCCTCCTCCCAGAGGCTGAGCTTAGCTGGGAGAGGTGTGCTGTGGCGGGTAAGGCAGGTGCGGC